AATATTCGCTGGAACACGTGAGGGGCCCGTCGCTCACTGGTAAAACAATGGCACACTGCTGGGAAGGAAAGGCTGAGGCGGCTCAGAGCGTGAGTATGCGTCCGGACAAAGGACTATTAGCGAGTTACCGGACCATTTGCGAGCCACATTTTGACGAAAAAACAGACTATTTCCAAAATGGACGACTTTTCAGGCCGGACGATTATTGAGGGACCACTGTAAGCCGTATAGATGATATTAGCTAAATTATTCATGAAGTAGTATTTTGCCCGGTCTCCAGACAAACTCTCGTCCACCGCTGACACTGCCCATACCACCAACATGAATGACATATTTTATTCATTTAGAGTATATATCAGGTTTGTGTTATTTATATTGTTTATTATGTCAGACGAAGTGAGATAGATAAATAAGCTGTACAGTTGATATTAGCGAAATTATTGAAGTACAGAATTCCACTCGAACAGATTAATTGCATTTCAATTAATTTAAATGAGGAAAATTGACTCTGCAAACGAGCAAATCCAGTTGCGAGCAAGGTCATGGAATGGATTAAACTCGCAAGTAGAGGTTCCACTGTACTGTACTCTGAGAATGAAACTAATTCAGTAGTTTTTTGCAGATGGGGACCCCACAAACTACATGAGTTACTATCGTCGTGCCACAGTTTATCTGGCTCTTGGCCGATCACGACTTGGTCTACAAGATTTAGATGAAGTGATTAAACGAAAGCTTGACTTCACTGCCGCTCGGGCTCAACGGGCAGGAGTTTTTGTCAAGCTAGGCAGGCTTGAAGAGGCACACATAGATTTGGAATACGTGGTAAGCATATTGGTCTTTGAAAAAAAGGCAATAAACAAAGTTCAGCAAGTCTATACTGATCTGTTATACAGTAGACAGTCATTTAGCATGGCAGTTACGTTCCTGAAAATGCTGTGTTAAGTAAGATCGTGTTAAATGAACTGAAGGAATTGTGGGAAAAATAGGGTTACGTTCTTGTGAGCCCCCAAAAAGCCAAACAACTTTTTTTAGGCCTCCACGTCTTACAAAAATAAAAGTGAATATGTAGTTGTAGTTCATTGTTGTGATGTATTATGTTTTGACTGCTTAAGACTACAAATGTAACAGAAATGATAGTATTTCTTACCTTAAATTGTGGGTGCTGGTGTTTGTGGAGAGAGTGAAGAGTTATGCTGTGGCCCTACTGGGCTGAGGTGGATGGTAGAGGTTCTGGTACTGAAGTCAATGGTTGTACTTTAAGTCAGTCAGTCATCATTCAGTAAGTCACTCAGTAAGTCAGTCATTCAGTCACACAAACTCATGTTTACCTCTTTTTCTGTGTACGAAGTAACACTTCATGACGGCTACAGGTTATCTCTTGTCTAATATCTTTGTTTCTTTGTTAACTCTAAGACTTAAATGCTTATACCTCTTCGTGCCCTTTCATCAACACTGGTATGGCTACTGAGTGTCATGATTGCTTGGCAGATACAAGCTATAGTAATTAAAATATAACACAATTCACAAACACGGCTGCCTTGTAGCAGAGAAAGACTGGACACACATGAATTACGAACGCTGGGATGGTGGGGTGGTGTCGGGGAGTGGTAGGGGATGGTTGGAGGGCTCCCCGGCTGCTCCACAACTAGGCAGCCACTTGAGCAAAAGAGAATATTTTTTTCTTTCCCATAAACTGAACAGTGTTAAATTAATTATATGAGGTGTTACATAAAATTGTGCCGCAATTCTTCAATTGTGCAATACCCAAATCGTGCCAAATAAACTCGTGCTAAATGACAGTCTTCTGTACTTTACTGTAATCGTTAACAAGAGACATAACATAGTGTATGTACTTTAATTAACTGTTAAAAGGTAATTTTAAGTGTGTTCATGCATCTAATGTGGTATTGCCTCTTGCTATGTTTCTGTATATTTATATTGTGTACAATGTGTGTGTGTGTGTGTGTTAGGGTTCTACTGATAGGGGTAAAATATTGATATCTGAATTTTTCTTGCCTCCTGCTTCATTGTGTTCCTTTTTGGCTAAAAATTATTCAAAGTTTTGAGATGATTGGGCTTCATTTAAAGGTGCCCCAACAACACCAAATTTTCACCCCCTGCAAACCAGGAATTCCCATGTATTTTTTTTAACACAGCAGCCGTCATCCTCCAAGGCAGGGTTATCAGAAAAAGAAATACTTTTACCATCATTCACTTTATCACTGTTTTGCCATGCCAGTACTACTGTTCAGAGGGCCCTCCAAACTGCAAATATCCCCACCCTTCCTCTAGAATACAGGCACTGTAAGTATCTACCCTCCAGGACTCAAGTCCAACTAACTGGTTTCCCTGAATCCCAACCATTTGCCTCCACTCCTGTTTAACATGTTCACACATGCCTGCTGGATGTCCAAGTGCCTTGCACACAAGACCTGTACACTCTCTATCCAACCTTTCCTAGGGTGACCCCCTATCCTACCTTCTTCCTTCCACTACAGAGTTACCCTATTGTGCTCCATCCTCTCTAGATGTCCAAACCACCTTAACTCTTCCTCAGCCCTCTGGATAATACTTTTAGTAACCCTCTCATGTATACCTTTGATATACCTTAAATAGTTTTTGAGAGTTTCTCGACTCTGAGCCTGGCCGTGCGCCAGGCTTGTCTGGTGCTTGCCTGGTCAACCAGGCTGTTGCTGCTGGAGGCCTGTTGCCCACATCCATCACAGCCTGGTTGATCTGGCACCTGGTGAAGATACTTGTCCAGTTTCCTCTTGAAGGCTCCTACACTTGTTCCAGCCGTGTTCCTGATATGTTTTGGTAAGATGTTGAATAGTTTTGGGACCCCGGATGTTGATACAATGTTCCCTTGTCCCCACTGCACCCCTGCTCCTCACTGGGTTTATTTTACACTTCCTCCCAGTAGTTAAGGTGCTTTACTAGCTCATTGTGAGCAGTAAATGATCTCTGTATTTGTTCCAGCTCCAATATTTCTCCTGCTTTGAATGGGGCTGTCAGCACTGAGCAATATTCTAAGTGAGGGAGCACTAGCGATTTGAAGAGTGTCACCATTGGCGTTATTTCCCTTGTTTTGAAGGTTCTCATTACCCACCCCGTCATCTTCCTGGCTGTCGTGATCTTTGTCTTGCTATGATCTTTCAAAGAAAGGTCAGCTGACATAATTATTCCAGGTCTTTTGCATGTTCCTACGTTCTGTTTGGTGACCTCTTGAGTTTTGTATGTATGTAAAGTGGTACCTCGGGATATGAGTTTAATTCGTTCCAGAAGGCTGTTCGAGTGCTGATACTGAATGAATTTGTTCCCATAAGGAATAATGTAAATTAGATTAATCCAATTCAGACCCCTAAACATACTTACAAAAGCACTTACATAAATACACTTACATAATTGTTCACATTTTGAGCTGTTCATATCTCGAGGTACCCCTGTATATGTTGTATGTATACAGTGTTTACATGACCCACACTTAGAAGAGAAAACTTTCAACAGCTTTTGCTCTATCCTGGACCATTATCAAGCCACAACTAATAATGGCGCCGGACAGATACAAACATTGCCTGTCCTGTGGGTTGTGTAAATTGTTGCAGTTTCGGTATTTCATTTTTAATTCACTCCTGGTGAGGCAAACGTTGCCTTAATAAACATGGATGTCCATTTATCTAATGGTGTTGGCATTAATCCTGTGTCAGTATTACACTGACACAGGATTCAAGGGTCATCAAATTAGTGTGTGATGTGTTGCTGACATTAATGATATACAACAGTACTAAACTTCCACTTCTCTGAAAGATTGTCTTTACACAGTATTTTATTTTCAGCTAAGAAAAGAGCCATCACACGAAGAAGCAAATAGGCTTTATACATTAATTGAACCACTGAAACGAGAAATACTGGAGGCTATTCGAGTGTGAGAACTATCGTTACCAGCATGCCATTCTTTTACTCAAAAACACATTGAGGTAAGTTACTCAAAACAGTTATGGTAGACAGCTCATATACATAAGCACACTTATGTAATCAACACAAGGTAACTAGTACCAACACTTGAAAAAAAGAAGAAACATGCAACATATGGGAAATTAAATTATAGTTCCCCATACAGTTCACCCGTCTTCTTTATACATACTTCTCAACTTCATTAATAAATATATTAACTGTTTTTGAGAGAGTGGAATACTGTATTGTTAGTAAATGTTCTGAATTAAAATATTAAAAAGACCATGATTATAAATGAGGGAATACAGTATATAAACATACAAGTTAATACCTCTTTGTAATTACGTAATTTAAGGCAGCAGAAACTGAGGTGAGCTCATGGTGCCTCATTTTCAGTTTTTAGTTACATTAATTTTATCATTACCTCAAATGTGCAAAGAATTAATTTCTTGTATCTTTTTGGCATCTCTTGTATTTTTGTGCATAACTGTGGCAGATGGCATGTCCAGGTTTTCAGTTTTCTCACGGCATAACTTATTTTTGAGTTCTGGGAAAATGTTTTGCTGCTTATCTTGGGTTTTTTCTTAGTGTGTCCAACTATATAACCCTTACTGTATGAGTAGTGCTTCTCATGTATAATATAATCTTAGTTTGTTTCCATTTAATTTTAGGTATGTGCACCAAGTCATCTCTGCATATTTCAGTTTTGGTCTAACATATGTTGCAAACTGCTTTTTCAGCCTTTTCCCCATTAATGTATCAAGAGGCTGTTCTAAATTTGTTGCGTTTTGCTATTCACATTTTTCCCTCTTTGCTGAAATACAGTGGAGCCCCGGATTTTGTCTGGTACGGATATCGTACAAATCGATTTCAACCACTATTTCAGCGAAATTTTACCCCAGGTTTCGTACCTCCGCTCAGAAATCATCTGTATCAGACATGTCATCCTGCCCAAGGTGCACCGCTTACACGTGTATGACTCAGTCTGCATCTGTCACTTGTTGAATGAGCAGTACTCTGTGCTTTCATCTGAAAAATTTTGTAATTGATTTTTTTTTTTTATCACTGGCCAATTCCCACCAAGGCAGGGTGCCCGAAAAAGAAAAACTTTCACCATCATTCACTCCATCACTGTCTTGCCAGAAGGGTGCTTTACACTACAGTTTTTAAACTGCAACATTAACATCCCTCCTTCAGAGTGCAGGCACTGTACTTCCCATCTCCAGGACTCAAGTCCGGCCTGCCGGTTTCCCTGAACCCCTTCATAAATGTTACTTTGCTCACACTCCAACAGCATGTCAAGTATTAAAAACCATTTGTCTCCATTCACTCCTATCAAACACGCTCGCACATGCCTGCTGGAAGTCCAAGCCCCTCGCACACAAAACCTCCTTTACCCCCTCCCTCCAACCTTTCCTAGGCCAACCCCTACCACGCCTTCCTTCCACTACAGACTGATACACTCTTGAAGTCACTCTATTTCGCTCCATTCTCTCTACATGTCCGAACCACCTCAACAACCCTTCTTCAGCCCTCTGGACAACATTTTGGTAATCCCGCACCTCCTTGTAGCTTCCAAACTACGAATTCTCTGCATTATATTCACACCACACACATTGCCCTCAGACATGACATCTCCACTGCCTCCAGCCTTCTCTTCGCTGCAACATTCATCACCCATGCTTCACACCCATATAAGAGCGTTGGTAAAACTATACTCTCATACATTCCCCTCTTTGCCTCCAAGGACAAAGTTCTTTGTCTCCACAGACTCCTAAGTGCACCACTCACCCTTTTCCCCTCATCAGTTCTATGATTCACCTCATCTTTCATAGACCCATCCGCTGACACGTCCACTCCCAAATATCTGAATACATTCACCTCCTCCATACTCTCTCCCTCCAATCTGATATCCAATCTTTCATCACCTAATCTTTTTGTTATCCTCATAACCTTACTCTTTCCTGTATTCACTTTAATTTTCTTCTTTTGCACACCCTACCAAATTCATCCACCAATCTCTGCAACTTCTCTTCAGAATCTCCCAAGAGCACAGTGTCATCAGCAAAGAGCAACTGTGACAACTCCCACTTTGTGTGATTCTTTATCTTTTAACTCCACGCCTCTTGCCAAGACCCTCGCATTTACTTCTCTTACAACCCCATCTATAAATATATTAAACAACCACGGTGACATCATACATCCTTGTCTAAGGCCTACTTTTACTGGAAATAATTTCCCTCTTTCCTACATACTCTAACTTGAGCCTCACTATCCTTGTAAAAACTCTTCACTGCTTTCATAATCTACCTCCTACACCATACACCTGCAACATCTGCCACATTGCCCCCCCTATCCAACCTGTCATACGCCTTTCCAAATCCATAAATTCCACAAAGACCTCTCTAGCCCTTATCTAAATACTGTTCACTATATGTTTCACTGTAAACACCTAGGTCCACACACCCCCTACCTTCCTAAAGCCTCCTTGTTCATCCTGCTATCCTATTCCTCCGTCTTAACTCTTAATTCTTTCAATAATAACCTACCATACACCATGCTTGTTTATTGAGTGCGACTGCTAAATAAACCACCAAGCGGTGAAACAAAAGTTCTGATGGTGGTAGAGGGTGGTAAAATCTCGTAAAAGGACAGTGTCGTTAGCAAAGAGCAAGTGTGTAACTCTCACCTGTGTTAGATTCTTTTATCTTTTAACCCCACACCTTTTGTCAACACTAAGCATTCACTTCCCTTACAACTCCCATCTATAAATATATTGAATAACCATGGTGACATCACACATCCATGTCTTAGGCCTACTTTTACTGGAAAATAATCTCCTCTCTCCCACATACTCTAACCTGAGCCTCACTATCCTTGTAAAAACACTTCACTACTTTCCAGTAACCTTCCTCCTATTCCATACATTTGCAACATCTGCATATTGCCACCCTATCATACGCTTTTCCATATCCATAAATGCCACAAAAACTTCTTTGTCCTTATCAAAATACTCTTCACCTATATGTTTCACTGTAAACACTTGTCTACACACCCCTACCCTTCCTAAAGCCTCCATGTTCATCTGCTATCCTGCTCTCCAACCTTTTCTTAATTCTTCAATAATAACTCTACCATACACTTTACCAGATATACTCAAAAGACTTTTTCTTATTTATTGCTGGAATTTACAATGCTTTTGGGCTGGGATTCAAAGGAAACATTCACCATCATTCATTCAGTAGCTGTTTTGCCAGAAGTAGAGAGATGCCAAATTCAAATGACCATCCAAATTGCATCATTGTCACCCCTCCAGAGTGTAAGCAGTATACTTCACACCTCTAGGACTCAAGTTCAGCAGACCATTTCCTGAATACCTTCATAAATACCACCTTGCTTACCCCCCAACAGCACATCAAGCCATGAAAACCATTTAATCTCCACTCTAGTCTAACAAGTTTTCACAAGCCTGCTGGATGCTTAACCCCTTCAGGGTCCAAGCCCAAATCTGAAGTGGTGCCCCAGTGTCCAAGAATTTAAAAAAAAAAAAATTTGTTATTTTTTCTTATGAAATGTAGAGAATCTTTGTGAGGTAATAAAATAAAGTACGAAATTTGATGGAAAATTGACGAAATTATGCTCTCGCGAATTTTGATGTGTCAGTGATATTTGCGAATCGGCAATTTTGCCGACTTTGACTCCCATTTTAGGCCAATTACAATTATTCCAGTCAACCAAATTCTTAGCTATTTACACTAGTATTACTTCTATTCTATCGATTGAGCACAAGAAATCACCAAGTCAACTGTTTCAACTACAAATTAAAGTGATTGGAAATTGTTAATTTAGCCAATTTAACACAAAGTTCAAAATATTCCAATTTCAAAATAGGGTCCAGAATAACAATGTAGGTATTCCTGGAACTAAACTAACAATTCCTCTGTTCATTAGTTACGTTTTGAGGCTTTACAAATAAATTCCATTTTGATTTTTTATTCACATAATGAATTTTTATTCACACCAAAAAATAGAAGATGTACTTTTATGCAATACTGTAATAATTGTATAAATATCATCACCATATTGTGAATGCATATTAGACCCACCAGCTGCGTGTATTTAGCGTGTGAGGTCGTTTGTTTACTCTTGAATATCGGCAAAAATTTACCATTTCTGCTACTTTGAGCTCAGTTTCAAGCCATTTCCAGTGCAAAACCAATCAAAATCATCTCTATTTCTGTAATGTCTTCTATTCTATCAAATGAGACCAAGAAATCGCAAATACATCTATAAAAAACATATGAAAAAACACTGCAAAGTTGCGGTTTTAATCAAAAATCATGATTTCAGCTTTTTTTTTCTCTCATTATACACAGTGTGCTGCAGGATCTGTTTTATGTGGTGCACACATACCACATAGATGTATTCTCTCATATCTAGGCCCAAATGTACCACTCACAGTTTATCAGAGTGAGCTGAGCTCATGACGTAGATCTACGGTTTGGACCCTGAAGTAAAGCCGTAGATCTACAGGATGGACCCTGAAAGGGTTAAGCCTCTAGCATTAAACCCTTAATCCTTTCCTCCAACCCTTCTTAGATGACCCTACCTCTTCTGTTTTCCACTCCAGATTTATACACCCTCTTAGTCTCCAGTTCTGCTCTGTCCTCTCTAAATGCCCAAACCACTTCAATAACCCCCCTCAGCCCTCTGAATAATACCAAAGTAACCCTCACCATCAATTTTTTCTAGGGCTCTAAATTTTCGCATCAAAAATCACACCACACTTTGGGACCCAGTCCATTTCCTGGGATTTCTCCCTTCTGGGTTAAAATTTTTTTGTTTTCCCCATTGGGTAGGGTAGCGCTTCCCCGTGCCCAAAGGGGTTTTTGAAAATTCATTTATGTACCATTCCTCACTTATTTTTTGAAAAAGAAAAAATTTTAAGCTTGAATTTTTTTAAAACCCTTTTTTA